CTGCAATTTTCCTATCCGTTTACCAGTTGATGGACATTTGTGTTGTTTCTAGTTTTATTATGACTAAAACTACCCTCAACATTTGCATACAGGTCTCTGTGTGGATATATGCTTCCATTTCTCTTCAATAAATACCTACGAGGGGCATTTCTGGGTCGAATTAATGGCCCTGCCTCCATCTCTCTTATAACGCTGTCCATCCTCATCCCTCCCAATGCTAGATCTTCATCAGTGTTGCCATAAAATGTCACTTCATATTACTGCAGTTAGAGAGCTTAAAAACAAATATATTAATATAAAAAAAGACACGACTCTGTTCCATAGGCCATTTACACTTCAGGAGGTGGGCAGACTCATGGATGTAAAAGTTTCCAAGCCACTCTTCCAACATTTATACTCTCTTTTATCTTGCTACTCCTAAAGAACCTACTCTACCTCTCTACGTCTCTACCAAACCATCCGCTGCTTGGCTTCACAGCTTCCCATAATCTCATCTTTGTTCCTGAGCTAATCTTGTTTTTACCCTTCCCCCTCTTAAATCTCAATCCAGCCAGCCTGAGCTCTGTCCCACAGTCCTTACATGGGCATGAGCTATTTCCTCTAATACTCATTCTCCTATCCCTCAATTGCAGTATCCTTCAAGACCCCAGTAAAGTTTCATCTCTATCCCCGTATTAATCTCCTATCATTCTTGGGGCTCATATATATATACCTTCTGCACTCTGCTCTAACGGTTGGGGCTGAGTGTCTTCTTTCTTCAATGACTATGTCAGTTTCAAGGTTAAGGAGTCACCCCTCTACTCCATTTGCATTTCTCCTCAATGCTCTGCACAAAATAAACAACTGTTCAAAATCCTCATGGAGGGGTATGGAGATGAACATTCTGCCTGTCACATAAGTACAGTGTTTACAAATTTGGTTTAGAGGAAGTCCAAACAGTCTATTTAGAATATGAACCGTACAGTCCTCCTTTCACTTTTCAAATGAAAGCTCTTTCTTTGCTCATTTCAGCTAGAAAATGGTTGAAGGCTAAACAAGCAACACTTAAGGGTATATATTCATCCTAGCCTGTGCCAGGTTTTCTAACCTCCTTTCCTGAAGTATACCTGTGGAATACTTCAGGAATGCCAGCAATTTTCTTGAATCGGTGTAGAAGGAATAGAAATTCAGGAGCAGTCTGCTGAAATTATAGTTGCTAAATATACATGATGGAAAAGAAACATCTACAAATTGCTGACCATAGGGGCAGAGCGTGAAGGGAGGACTCCTTAGTAGGCCTTGATGTCTGTTTTACATTTTCCTCAAATACTACTCATTGTAAATTCTAAGCACATGTCACCTATGAAACACTAGAGCCTGGCACAGTCATACATAATCAATTCAAACTCTGCAGGTCCATCTGTTGTGGTAAGGAAATTGCTTATTTTAGATGCTAGTTCACAAAGAGGCTCTGATTCACACCCTTCCCGAGCAAATGGCGAGAAGGTGGCCACAGGTGGCTGTTTCCACCTTCAGCAGGAGTGTGGCATTAGAGGCAAGCAAACCAGCATGCAAATGTACCCCTCCATGTACACATGCATCAAATGGACTCACCTCCCTACTACTGGGAATGCACCCAATTGTACACTGAAGGCATCAGCTCAACATACACTGTGTCCCCGAATGCCGATGGAGGCTAGATATCCTCAGGTAGGGCACCGTAAGCAACATTGAAAGCATAACCTGGCTCTTACAAGTCCAGAGCCCAGGTGCTCCTATAATACTGGCGTGTGACTAGTATAGTACACTTCAAGAAAGACTCCCCAGTGAGGAAAAAAAATCAAGGCCAGTGTTAGAAAGACATCAGAATAAATTAATAATCTTCAGTCTAAAAATGTTAAAACTCTAAGGGGATTTGATCAAGTTTTGGAAATCAAAAATGGTACAGGAATGGTGAATATTGCTAAATTCAGAATACTGGAACTAGGGGTTAAAACATAAAATTCTTAAGGTGTAAATAAGACAAAACAAAAACAACTAATTAAAACATATAAAACTCATTACTCCTAAGATATAAGACAAACTGAATGAAGGATTTAAAAGATGTCAGGGGAGTTCCCAGCTCAATAATGTGTGATTTAGGGGAAAGATTAGCGTAGGATCTGCAGTGACAGCGAGGCAGAAGCCAGAGGGGAGCTCTCTAAAAGGGCAGATGCTGAACTCTCCAAAGTGGTATGTAGGTGTTTTGAATCTCTTTTCATAGTAAATTATGCTATGGCTAAGCTTTCTCCTTTTGGATGCCAGTGTTTCCTTTTAAGCACAGCTGGATAATAGTTATTTTAAGAAAAACCTAGTTCTAAAAACTCTCTGAATATTGTTTTAGGGCCAAGACATAATAACTTATGGAAAAGGTTGTGCATGGTAGCATTTGAGTGGTTTGTGTAGAGTTCCAGAGACAAATAAACCATTTCCCAGGGCAGAGGTGTTGGCACATCACATTATAAGGCTGGAAATGCCAGGACACCTGGGAGAGGCTGCCTGTGGCTCTAGCACAAGTTCTTGGCTCTGCTCAGCTGTGGAAGCCTGGGCAGGTCACCGCACAGGTCTGCCCTATCATCCCTACCTATGTGAGATAAGGATGTGCTGGACCAGAAGATACCTTTCAGGTCCCCACCAGCCCTAAAGTAGACAATGTTGCTATAGTTTAATTTGGCATCTTGAGAACAAACAGGCAACTAAATTCCTTTATTAATTTTCTAACAGAGTTCTCAGAAAAACATCATTGATGCTTGATTTTGAATATACTTCTTGTGAGAGTTCCTGCAAGTGTTCATTACCTCTTGACCATCTCTCCCATAGTCTTTGCTGAAGTCATGTGGGTGGAACAGGATACTATAGTTCTCCATGATGGAGAAAAGCTGGGAATTCTCTTTTCCACCCAGTCCTCATTCTCCTTCTTAACCAGGCCAACTCCTATTTACTCATCAGAACCCTTCTCAACCCACACCTCTTCCAGGCAGTCTTCCTGTATTCCCCACTCCTGAGTACTCTGTGCCCACCTCTCTCAGATCACTCATCATGAGGTAAGGTGACCGTTGAACCTAACTGTACACTTTCCCACCTGAACTCCTTGAGGGCACAAACCATGCTGCATTTAACTTTGTAATCCTTGAGCCTGGCACATAGTAGGGACTCAATGAACAGCTGCTGAATGAATCAGTTATATTTTTAAATATAATCATGTCACCATTTGCTCTGAAATGATCACATTTATTTAGAGCCAAAAATAATGAAAAAACCACTGGGGCCTCATCATGGGCTGAATTGTGCCCTCCTCAAACGCGTATGTTGAAGTCCTAACTCCTCCCACCTCAGAATGTGGCTGTCTTTTGAGCAAGGGTCTTTTAAGAGGTGATTAAGGTAAAGCGAGGTCATTAGGGTAACCCTGAATCCAACAGGGCTGGTGTCCTCACAAGAGGAGATCAGGACACAGGCATGCACAGGAGACGGCGGCCACCTACAAGCCCAGGAGAAACCAACCCTGCGGACAGCTTGACCTAGGTCTCTTGGCCTCTCAACTGTGACAAAACAAATGTCTGTTCTTTATGCTCCCCAGTCTGTGGTATTTTACTGTGGCAACCCCAGCAAACTAATACAGGCTGGAATCCTATTCCGTATATGACAACATCTTTTAACAGAAAAGCCATATATCCAAATGATATGTGTGTATGCATATGCATATGCATGTGTATGCGCATGCACACTTGGCCGCTTACTGCCAAGTAGACAATCTGCTAGATTTTTCCTTGGCAGGCTGTCCTGGCAGGATTTAGATGGTATGTTTCTCTGTGGAAGGCAGGGCCCACTTCCATCTGGCATCTCCCTCTGCACTAAAATCAGATCTTTAAACTGGATTTAAAAGAGAGAGGGGAAAGAAAGGGGAGAGAAACCACCTGGTCAGGCACCAGTGCCCGCTCCACTGGAGGAAAAGTATGGCTTTAGGTCTAACCACTGACCGCCCATCCAGCAAAACCTAGCAGCCTCTCCAGGGCTCCCTCTGAGAGTCCAGACCCCTATGCAGTAGGCCTACATCTTGACCCTCCCTTCTGATTGCTTCTCTCCTGCCTGCAAGGATCGAGGGTTGCAGCACAAGCATTTATTGTGAGTGCCTGGCACCACCGGCTCCTTCCACTTCGACCAGACCCCACCTCCAGACAGCCACAAAAATCCACCGTCACAAGGACAACAGTCTCAGATGGAGCTCTGGAGTCTTCAAGATGAGAAAGGGACATTGTCACTTCTGTTTACTGCACTGGAACTCCATAAAAACGTATCCACCTTGAGCCTCGGATGGCCAGAGATAGCCAATCACACCTCGGCAGGTACCAATTCAGAGATGAGACCAGGCCAAGCCCAGTGGGAACCGGGGGATGGTAGTAGTGGCAGGGGGGGTCCCATAGTCACAAAGGTGCACACATATCCAGGCCCCACCGCAGACAGGCATGGGGGAGGGAGGGAATTTGAGGCTGCACTTTACAGCCCATTGATGGGTCCTAGAGGACACAGGATCAGTGAGACGCTCGCACCTTTGCCTGAGAATTGCCTACACAATGGTCAAGACATTTTAAATTAATGCTTAAACTACTGTTCCCACTTCGACAAACCTGAAGATTTCTAAGCTAGACAAAGGAAAAGCCACACTTTCCTCTGTATGTAATAACATAATAGTTCATAACACAGCCTTTGGGGCCAGACTGGTTTCAAAATCTGACTCCCTCCACTTACTAGCAGCATGACCTTGAGCAAGTAACTCAAGCACGCTGGCCTCAGTTTCCTCATCTATAAAATGGGGGAGAACAGTACTTTCCTCATAGAGTTGTCATGAAGCTAAAATGATTACTTGTAAAGCACTTAGAGCTGTCCTGTAACCGGCACATAGAAAGCATTAAGAAATGTTAGCTACAAACACAATGAAAGAGACTTTCCCCTAAGAACACAAACCTCCACATGAAGTAACATACCTTAACTTTGGAGTTCTCTATCAGATGCTGGGCCATGGATTTTATCAGCACATCAAAGAAAAACCATGAATACTAAAAGCAAAAAAAAACACAGGACCCAAGTAAGAAAAACCACAAATTAGTAGGTAAGACATAAACTATCTCGGGCTGACAGTGTCATTGACATAAAGCGAGTGTGACCCTAAAACACAGCTCGACTGCTCAGCAAATTATTATCAGACCGGAGGGGTGAGTGGCAGATGTCTTCTGCTTGTTCAACAGTAAGTAACTCCATCCGCTGGGAAACTGGATGCCTACACTCAGCATGGCACAATCCCAGGACAGGCGCTGCCGGATTATCTGTGCAGTCCTTCTCCTTTGCAGATCTCTCATTTGGTGACACCTGCCTTTGTAAGTGCTAAGTCGGTGTCCTCCACTGACTTGATTATGATGACTTACTATTACTCAAGAGCCAATGAAACTCTGAATAAAATGCTTCTTTGCTGCTCCTATCTCGAGACACAATCAGCAAAGTTGATACTGGGGAACTAGTTCTGTTACCCCTTTTAGGGGTGGTGCTGACTGTCTCTAAAAGCACTCCAAAGGCTGAATTAATCAGGCTGTGGAGTCTGAATTTTCACTCATCAGTTTCAATACCAAAGAGCCACACTGACTCTCCTGACATACCTTAAGCAGTTTGTTGCTGGTGAGGAAATCAGCGGAAGGCTTGAGAATTGTGGTCATGGATTTGGTCAGTTCTTCATGCACTGTCTTGTATTCGGAAGCAACATATGGCTCAGCCTTATATGCATACTTTGAAGAAAAGAGAAAGAGATTTCAATGCACTAGTTCTCTTAGTTGGCTGAAAGCTTGAGAGGCTCCAAAGAATGGATAATGGGGACCGAGGTACAACCTTACGGGTGGGAGAGGCAGTTTTGATATGAAGGGTGGGAAGAGTGATTGTCATGTGACAGAAAGAGGGAGCCCAAGAGGTCTTCAGGAAACCCATCAAAATACATGACTCGCCCAACTCAGATCAGCGGCCTCAGCGCCTAACTCCATCTATACCAGGGACCTCAAGGAATGAGCAGCATGACAATGGGTAACTAATATCCTCAAGAATCCCAACTTTATTTTTTAAACTATCACATAGTTGTAATTCACAAAGATGTCTAAGACTAAAAAGAACATGTGTAACTTTGTAAAACAGTAATAGCCACTACATTTACTAAATGTTGTACATAAAGGAAGAACTTGTTGATATTTATCCTAACACCATCTCTTGCTGTCCCATGTAGTCGTCTAATGTGATTGTGGACAGAACTAATTTTCCTATTTTGGGAGAAGCAGTTTTGCTGAAAATTTTACATGGAATAAAGAAAATGAAGTCAACTAACTATGCCTGAGCCCTAGCAACTTAAAATTCTTCCTTAAACTTCCATGTGATTTGACATGTTATTTGGGAATCCCATTATAAGAAATGTAATTGAAATCATTAAATTCAGTAAATAAAGGAATGGCTACCCCTCATCATCCTTCCCCTTGTCCAGGAACAAGCGCTGGTGATGAGGAACAGAAGAGAAAGCTTGAGTATTAAGTTACAAGTATATCCCCAAATGACCAGGCTTGTAAAAAATAAGTCCTTAGAAGGAAAACTGGAGAGCCACAGACGTAAATGATCAAAACGGTTTGTTTTACATACCTTAACATATGACCTCAAGTGGCTCTCTAATCCTTCCTCATGGCACTGGGCAACCACATGAATAATGACCCTACACACCACAGGAATGAATAAAGCAATGAATAGTAATGTGAAAATGGAAACATTTCATTATTATCACAGCAGTAGTAGAACAATGAGGATGCTATTGGCACTCAGGAAACAAGGAGACAAGGAGTACAATGGGGTCCCTACATACGGGACTCAAAGAAATTTCTTAAATATAACGTTCAGCATAAACCAGCATCCCAGATACGTGTGACTGTGCTCCAGATGCAGACAGACAGGAAGAGAAGAAGAGCATCCATCTGTCCACCACTCTTACCGAGTCACATTCACTGCGACTTCTTCCTGGGTGGCTCTGGTGAGGACTCGGAAGAGCTGGTTCAGGATGGTGGGAAGGAAGGCGATCATCACGTGGCCTTCCATTGCGTGCAGGCTCTGCAGACGTGGGGTGGAGAAGCTCAAGTTATCTACATTATCTCTGCAAAAGTAAACCAGCCCAGAGTAATTCCCACTCAGTTCCAAAAAGGGATGGAAGAGCTCCCTCTAAAACAGATGGAAGGCTGTGGTGGGCAGAAGGCCCCCCAGAGATGCCCACGTCTTAGTCCTCAGCACCTGTGAATATGCTACATGGCACAGAGGAAGTACGATCGCCAACTGGCTGGCATTAACACAGGGGTTATCCAGGCGGGCCCCACAGAATCACAAAGGTCCTTAAAATTGGAAGAGGGGGGCGGATGGGGAAAGTCAGAGGGAGACAGGACCAAGGAAGAATGGCCAGAGATGTGACACGGTTATCTTTGAGATGGAGGGAGGGGCCGCAAACTATCACATGTAAAAATTTTCACTATATACGTATGTGTGTGTGTGTGTGTGTGTGTGTGTGTGTGTGTGTGTATGTGTACTGTGAATATTCCATTTTCCTTGCTTAGACCTAACAAATCTCCATCCATTTCTCACATTTCTTGTTTGGTCCCCATGCCTGGAAAGCCCTTTCAGCTACTCTCCCACTTCAAAATGTCCCTCACCATCACGTGCTAGATGAAACGACCCTAGACACACCCTACCTCACTTTCGCTGCTCAGCACCTCCAGGAACCTCCATACCCCCTCACAAAGCTGGGACTGGTTATGTGTATTATTTTTTGTTTGAATTGATTTATCCACCTAGCATGCAGTCACTGAGTTTATATTCTCTCCTGCAATGAAATTCCTTCCTGGAAGCTCCTTAAGGGTGAGGACTAAAGTCACTACTTCTGTGCCTGTCACTGTGCTTGGGACCCAGTGAGCACTTGACAAAGAGGCCTGTGCCAAGTGAGTGGCTTTCCATGCATGGGAAACAATGTGTAGTAGAGATCTGGCCTGGAGAAAGGGACACGTGGAACTAGGATGAAGGCAGGAGTAGCACCATTCCTATGGCCACTGCTTGCCACTACTAAAAACCACAGAGAAGCTACTTATGTGAGACACCCGGGTAAGAGCATCCTTACAGAGGTTTCCAAGGAGCCAGAACAACACTCACCACCAAACAGAAAACCCAACCTACTCCAAACTCATTAAAAAGGGGCTACTAAGAAAGCCATGTGGTACCTTAAGGTATTTTACAAGTTCATTCCCTAAGGCTTGGGCTCCAGATTCAGTTTTCTGACAGTACTGGAAAAAATTATGTAAATGCTGATCCTAGGGACAAAAAAAGAAGAAAAAGAAAGTCTATTAGTACATACGCTGTGGAAATAGGAGCAGTTGCTTCATGAGTATTTTTATAAGATTATGAAAATGATCACATAAAAATGAGATCAAAAAGATTCCAACAAAAGGGGGAAACTATTGTTGAAAAATGTTACTTACAGTATTCATTTATATCGGTACACATGAGCACCTTAGATATACTTTCTTCAAAAAAAAAAAAAAAAGACTTACAGAGTAAAAATAAATCCATACAACATATCAGGATTTTGTTTTGCAAAAAAAGCACAAACTCAGTCCCAGAGCAACCACTGCTAATTTTAATGGAATGGCACGTACCTGAGTATACACTGTAGAAACTAGATGTGTTGAAACTTTCAACAGTGGCTTTCCTCCATCTACCCATTTAATTTCTGGACCATAATGCTGAAAAAATATAGAGGAAAAAATACCAATAGATTAATTATCTTGGCTTCCAATACGATCATCAGTGAGGGGACTGACGAGGGCCAGGCGGTCAGAGACCTCCAGTGACTCGGTGGCTGTGCCTGGCCACGGCAGGAATGCAGCGGATGCTCATCTGCCCACTTTCTCCCCCTAAGTACAATGCTCTTCTCACTGGATTTTCTAAGTTATCTTTTCCACTTAATTGCAGCTGTGTGAGTTACTGTCCATTTGAGAGGGAAAGCATCCTACTTCACCAGTATCTTAACCACACGTGAGCTGAGGATTCTGACAGAGAACAGAAGGAACCAGATAAAGCCGATGGGACAGCAGCAGACCGAGCACAGGACAGGGTCGGCTGTCTGTGCTGACTTTAGCTTCCAAAACCTCCAATTTTCTATTGTGCTCGGACTAGGAATATAACTGAAAGTTATGTGATTTACTTCTTTAGTAACATTTTAACTACTTGTCTATATCATGGACCCAAATTTGGCATTAAATGCAGGGAAACATTTAAAGAACAGGCCATATCTGAGCATGCTATAAAGCCAAGCCGAAGTATATAAAATTTGAGATGTTTAAAAAGAATGTAAAGTCAACAAACCAACTGGAGAAATCTGAGGGAAATCTGGTTTTCATGAATCAGACAGGTTTAGGATTGTGCTGCCTTGTGGGTGAGAGATGGCTTACTTGACTTATACTAAGATGGAAGAAAGTTCCTGATAGTTTAACCCTAAGAACTCATCTTTATTTGAGCATGGCTAGTATGCAGAGACAGACATCTACCTTATCCAGTATCTCCAAGTCTCCACTTCTCTGCTAGTTCAAGGCTTATAAAATCCCCAAAGTATAATTCCGACACTATGTGAACTGCTAACAGCACTGCCTCCTAATGGTCAAAGATTACTTGGAAATGAATTTACTAAAATCAAAATGTTGGGACTGGCAAAAATACTGTGTGCTTTTCCATGTTACTGTTGTTTTAGTTGTTCTTTAATGTTTTTTGAAGGAATTGGGATAAACTGATCTTAAAGTCCTTTACCCTGCCCATCCCCAGCTCCTGGTAGCCAAGGTAGCCAGAAGGAAGGTTAGCTGAGATGGGGACATGCTGCTCACTAGTCACCACCCTTCCATCCTTCAGGAGCGGGAGCCAGGAATATCCAACTGTTGAAAACAAAGAACAAAAAAACCCACCATAAGTGTATGAAAACTTATGGAAGAAAGCCAACGTAAAACTGTCTGATTTTTAAAAACTGTTAATGTCAATCAGAGTAAGAAACTTAAAAGGCTCTGAATATAGTCTCTGCAGAACATTGTCAACAATGTACTTTGGCCTCTTGGGGATCAGAATTATAAAATTTTCTTTTATAAAATTTTCCATATGCAACCCAGACATGCTATCTACACCTTACCTACAAACTTCGTATAAAAACCCCTTCACAAAAGGATGCAAATTCAGAATCCAACTACAATTTAAGAACTTAATATGTAAATTACTAAAAACCAAAAGAATGATGAACTTCCCAACCTTGGGTTTCAACAACATCCTTCTTCTTTGTGCTTCCTTTACTTGAGTTATCACAGCTGACGTGGAAGAATGTGAACAACAAATGGTGCTTTTCGTGTAGCTGAGTGGGTAACTCTATTTTAATCTGCAAGGAAGACAAAATAATCTTTCTAACATTCCAAAACATCAAAACTCTCAGGGAAAGCAGACACAACATGTTACCCAATGGTCTCCAAACTGATATTAACATTTGCATTCAAGGACACCTGAGACTGTAAAGTGGGCCAAGCAAAAAATGGATCCTGAATTCAGTGAGCAGAAACAGGGGGAGAGTTGATAGTATTTATAAAAAAAATTAGAAAACACATGAGAGTAACTACTACACCAAATTACCACAGCCATGGTATTATGAAGAACCAGGGTAGAACATTCCAAAGTAGCATCCATGCAGCAGTTTTAATGAACTAAATTATAATTCTATATAAGCGAACCCAATGATAAGAAAGGATGATTCTCGGGTCCAACAAATGTCACTATACTTAAGTATGAATTTGAAAGGAAATATGCCAGAATATTAATTGTGGTAGTGATGGTGGGATTATGACTTTTTCTTTTCTATATTATCTGCATTTTCCAATTTTTTATTTTTAAAAATGAATTTATTACTTTCAAAACTAGAAAAAATATGGAAAGCAAGTACTTCAACATTCAGTTCTGTCACTGTAACTTCAGTATGCAGAAATTTTGCTTTACCAAGCAAAGACGAGGAAACTTAAAACTGGTGAAACTGGATTTTCCCTTGAAAACATCACTCACCTCATCATAGAACTCTGGGTTTTGCTGATGGTGTAAAACTGCAGCAAAGGCGCTTCTTGTGAATACTGGCCCACCAGGTCTGCCATAAATGCACTAAAATAAGAGTTAACAAATGGAGACACCATTAATTGGTGTTCAATTAATAGAGCAAGAAATTAAACTCAGATGTGTTACAACGAGAGAGGTACTTCCACACCATGTATGTACTTAACATCACCACCTCCGATGGACTTCTTCTGTGAGATCCCAGGCCTGGGAGCCCCCAACTGCCAGGTCCAGCTCACCTCCAAGCCCACCCACCTGCCTCCTCCCTGCTCCTCCTGGTCACAGCTCTGGATGACACCTTGCTCACTCTTCTCTTTCACCCCTCCATGCCTTTGCTTATGCAATTCCTCTGATGACCTTTGCTTCTATGTGCACCAAGCAAACTCTCATGCATCCTTTGACACATTGTCGACCCCTTCCTCTGTGTCCCCTCAGCATTTTTCCATATTAATTATGCAGTTTTGTACAAGAAACCATTTCTGTACCACCTGTGATCCAGGGTCTTTTTCTCCATGGCTGTCTTTCCTATCAAACTGTGAATTTCTTGAGAGCAGACACTATATTATATTCTTTTTTGTATCTTTGACTTCTTCCCTTCTTAGAAAATCATTTTAATACAGTTACAGTAAAGAATTTGGGCTCTGGAGCCAGACTGTTTGAGTTTGAACCTCAGTTCCACTAATGTATGATTTTAAGCAATTAAATTCTGTGCATTAGCCTCTTCATCTAAAAAATATTGATAATAATGGTACCTAACTCAAGACCACTATGAGAACTAAGAGTTAAATACACAGAAGAGTAGTGCCTGGAGTATTAACAGTATTCAATGAATGTTACCTATATGCTACTACTATCAATACTACTATACTATAGTAAGCATTTAATAAAGATCACCTATTGTTGACCATCTGTTATTATAATTTCTATTATCAACATTATTCATCTCATAATCCTTAGCCCCACATGATGCGTGGCTCATAGTGTGTACACAGGAAGTGTTTACTGAATTGAGTACGTATAAGAAATGTACACCCCTAAAGAGAATAACAGAACAGATAGTCAATTAAGAACAAGAACTTCAGTATTCCATATTCTCTGAGAAACAGCCTACATGGTAACATATTGTAACGTTATATATTTTTGGTTTGTGTCAATTAAAATATGCTAAATTTCTTTAGTTGTAAAGTATCACACAAGTGTATTTTTAGAATGGAAAAAATCAGAATACACAGGTGAATATCCGTAAAGAACAAACCTTCAGGGGCTGACAGTCTTCCTCATCTGAATCTTTGAACTCAATGCAAATAGCAATATTTCTGGCCTGTAGCAATAGTTGAACAAAAGAGAATAAGAAAAACCAACCAGAAAAAAAATCAGAAAATGTAAATATTTATAAAAGAACATGGGAAGTCAAATCCTAAGGGAGAGTTTGACATCAAGAGTGAAACCCCAACCTGTGTACTGACCTTGGCAAAAGACTTCTGACTGTCGTATTTCAAGTACTTAGGATAGACGTAAAGGTGATTGTTGTAAATAGTGTAAGGCTGAGTGTGTTTTGGTATGCAGGGCACAAATTCCTCTACTTCAAACGTGATCGGAGCTTTCATACAGGTGTCAAACTGCTTCATGGGAATGTACGATGAATTAACATAATCTGAAAAGATATTCAAAACAATCCAAACTGAAGTAAAAACCAAACAAAAAAAAATTTGTCTGTTTATTACAAAGAACTGCCACTTACTAGGGAAGTCTGAGGAAACATTATCAATCGTAATGTCTAGATTGCCTAAAATCACTGGGAGTTTAGCCATCTTCTCAGGTCTACAAACAAAAGAAGAAAAAATCAAGCATTTATAAGTTAGCTTAACTCTACAACCTGAACTCTAGAGCAGCATTTCCAAGAGAAATATAAAGCAAGCCACAAGGGCAATTTTAAACTTTCTAGTAGCCACACGAAAAAAAAAGAGTAAAAAGAAACGGGTAAAATTAATTTTAATAATACATTTTATTTAACCCGACATCCAACATTTTGGTAGGTAATCAGCATAAAAATATGCAATCTACGTCTTCAAAACCAGATGTGTATTTCATACTTTGCACATATCTCTATCAAGACTTTCTATATTTCAAGTGTTCAGCAGCCACACGTGGCTAGCAGCTAACATGTTGCACGGCACAGGTCTAGATAAAGAATATCAGTATGATCATTATAGTTAAAAGCATTCCTGAACCACTCCAGCCTCAACACAAATACTTGGCTCATTCAGAACCACTGATGTGCAGAACTAGAAATTATCCTGGGCTCCAGTGTCTAGAAAAATGCTGGGAACAGAGTAGCTGCTCAATGAAATGGTGGTCATTTGTATTTGGTCTGACTCAAACCCAATGCAGTCATCTCCTGTGACATTCCTGACAAGCGCTGCTCCTGCCTCAACCCTTCCTCCTAGTGACAATCAGAGCCGTTTCCACACCAGACTGCTCTCCCTCATGGCCTGGAGAAAAGCATCTCCCTGAATCTTCCGCTCACCCAGCGGCCTAGTTATGTTTCTCTTTCAACCACCTATAGCTACCACATATCCTGAAGCCCTCAGCACTTTCACACCTTGCTCCAGTGCCATATCTCTCCCAGAAGAACATGCCGTTTAAATCACAGTACCCGGAACTGCACAGAGCAGGCCCAGTATGGTCTGAGCAGCTGGGTGCAGAGCAGCTGTCTGGTTTTAAACAATATACCCATCTACTAATGCAGCCCAAATGCCATTACTCTTAGGTAGCCACACCGCCCTCATGACCCACATTAAATTTACAATCACCTAAAATTCTTAAATCCATTTTTTCACGTGGCTTTACTGTCATGCTACATCTCTCTGTCCTGTATTTATACAATTATGTTTTTGGACTTCGGAATAGGATTTTATTTTTGTCTTGATGAAATTTCATCTTTTTATGTTTGAGCCATTTCTAGTTGATCAAAATCCTCCTAAATCCAGATTCTAACATCTACTGTATTAGATATTCCTAATAGCTTTATGTCATGAAGACATTTAATCAGCATGGGATAGTCTCATAAAAGTCACTGATAAAGATATTGCACAGAATATTGCCAAAAACAGGCTCCTTCTCATATTTCCAGAGGCCCATTTCCAGATAGATACGTAGCGTATTAGTCACTGTTCCTGGCATCTGGTTGGTTACTCCAGCAGTTGAACAACTGCCCACTCAGGAGTGCAACACTTCTCTGACTCGATCCTTGGATCTCATGGTATATATGTAAGGTAAACACACTCTGCCAACGCCTTTGCATTCCTCTACTACACCGGCTTAGCACCTCAGTTAAACAGAGAGGAAAAATGTGGTTAGGATGACTAGTTCAACATGACATGACTTATTCCTAGAAAACAGAAAGCCACCTGATGGTCCTTCATAAGCCACCTGTTCAATAATTTTTTAAAAAACATTGCCAAGGAACATCAAAGCTCAGTGGCCAACAGATTCAACATTTGGTTTTGTTCCCATTTTTAAAAAGTTCCCTCCTCCAGGTTTTAAGATTCCCCAGACATTACTGTTATCTATCAAGCAGTCTCATATGTAACTTCTTAGTATATCTTGGGATATTGTTCATCTAAATTAGGACTCCCCTAAAAATTCTAAATTCTTGCTCCCTTATGAAGACAGACTGTGTTGAGTAGATCCATCTTGGCCCATTACCAGCTCTAAGATGCTGAATGTTTTTCTCTCAGGGTCCCTCCCCTTTCCACCTGTCTTCTGTTTATATCCAAGTTTAAACGAACAATTCCTTGAAATCCTGAGAGACGCTATGATCAGGAAGGCAAGTCAACGATTTTTCACACCTTCTGCCTTCAGTTAAGAAGATTTCTGGCCAAGAGATCTCCAGGTACAGCCAAGTATCACCCTGCCCTTTTTTGCCCATGCCCACTGGGTGAGATGTTTGACACAAACAAAATCCTTTTCTTTTAGCAGGAGGAGGGTCGATAGTTTTCCCCCAACAGTCTTCTCCTGAGAGCTTTCCACTACCTCCCAAGTGCTGTGCACTCCTGTGACGATATCCTGTAAGAGCCTCTCTCAGCTCCACACAAAGTTCTGCAAGGGCATCAACCTCAGACCCGTGGGTTATATGAGGTATAAATTTTCTTCACATACAGTGTCTCTCTCCGTCTCTTCATTTGGACAGTGCAACACTGCAACGTACCACTAAACACTGCACTCCACAAAACCTTAGAGACACCTATGAAGTTGCATCTGCTTGAGTTAGGATACTGTTTATTACAATAATATTTTTAAATGTAAGTACCCAGGAGGAATGTATTTCACCCCTTCCTAGTTATTTCCACATATGAATGGACATCTTCTTCACCACTGACATCATCTACATATAAATTTTTGAAAGAGGTGGACTTTTAAGCAACGAATTTTAATTAACCAATCTTCACTAGAATCTTTCTACGATGTATTATATACTTCTGTGCCTAACTATATTAATTTCTTATTCTGTTTCCTCCTGCTGCTGAAAGCTTTTGCTTCTAGTCGTTGCTTTCATGGAGGCATTATTTCCACACATTTCAAAGCAGACACGTGAGCTTAGTTCTGTACCACATAGCACATGGGCTTTGTGAAAGCAGTTTTTTACCAACTTTAAGTCTTTAATAACGTAATCTTAAACCTATTTCAAAAGTTTACAGTTTTTGTTGACCTGGCTCATTAAACATCAAAACCACACACTTAACAAAAATTTTACTGCCTTTTTTATATGCATTTCCGAAGTGGTGTTGTGTGTGCACATGAGTGTATGTGTGTATTAAGTGTGTGTGTATTACACAAAGTAAATTCTCTCTGACTGGGATTAGTTTTGGGTTTTTTTGTTTTGTTTCCTGTATTCTATGTAAAACTTATAAAATAATACTTGAACATGAAAACCCATCTTAAAATTGCATCAATTAAATAAATATAGATACATGCAGGATGTTTGGCATCTGGGAACTGCTCTTGTGTGTGAACTCAGGAGTGAGTGAGGCTGAAACTCTCTCTTAGGGAAAGTTTTCTCTTCCTACTGCCCATACATTCCTGCTGACTCAACAATTCCCAAGAGGGAAGGGGAACACTATCACAAACCAGTAGTCATTCCATGCCAACTAAAGGTGACTGGGTTTTCAAAAAATTAACTTGTTATTCTATAAGAAAGAGTGAAAGTTTCTTGGAATTCAAAAATTAACAATTACTGTATGACAATACAGTATGTATGATAATATATATTACCCACTACCAATAGAGCATGTTTTTTCAAGATGCTAACTATGGCTTATATTTATGATTCTGAAAAATCAGAAAACTCTCAAAATGTCTAACAGATTTGGGGTCCTTACCTATGTGTTTCTGCAGCCTGGTCCTCCCTTCCCTACTTCTTGTATTGGCCCATTAAAATGATTAATTGGCAATAGGCATGCTTGGTGTTGATGAGTTTAATCTTCTAACTGCATTTTGTAAAAGGAAATATTCCCTAAAAGTTTTGCTGTCGGTTAAAAGAAACTTCCGTCTGAGAACATTCCGTAAGCATTATCAAAAGTGCTTAGGATGTGCTACAATGTGCACCGTACTCATCACCACAGATGGAATGCAAACAAGATGATTTCTGTCCTCAAGAAGCCAAAAGTCCAGTAGATAGTGTCAACTACTTATAACATATGACAGTAATTACTTTCATAGAGTACGTAAAAATCTCTATCAGAGTATCTAGATGTACTGAGAAGGAATAAGGGATAAGAGCAGTATTCATGGTGGGAGAAATTACTCTAATATGCTTTTTGTTTATTCCCCACTCCCAGTTCTAGGAGGCAGACACTATTATTATCTACTCTTAAAAAGAAGAGGAGACTCAGGCAGAGAAGCCAAGTAACCTGCCCCAGGTCTCCCAGCATGGATGGGAGCTTCACACTGGGCTTTAAAAGATGAGCAGAGTCCCTGAGAGACCAAAGAACAAGGGGGAGTGTGGACACTCCCTGTGCTTGTGATTTATGTGCTGCCTGATGAGGCGGGAAGGGGACAAATGGGGTGGAGAGAAAGTCCACAGTGGCTTTAGACAACGTCAGGCAGCCCTACCTGGCTTGAATGCAGTATAAACAGAGCAAAATGGGCACAAGGTGGTAAAACTTGGATGCAAAGAAAATAAATACACAAATAAACACAGATACGTTAAGTCACATATGCAAAAACCCTAGCAGTATTACTACCCAAACTATCCAATGTTGTAGTAAAAAAAAAGGTCTATGTTTTACAGAAAATGCTCTATTTTTATACTTTGCCTTCATGCCTTCAGATATCCTGCGGAAGTCAGAAAAGATACCAGCATAAGCAAATCAAATATAAAATACCAAGTCTCTCTTTTTATATATGTCAGTAACACCATCTATCTGGCAGAATTGCTTTCTTACTAAATCTTGGAACCTATCCCTGGGTAATTATTGCATGGGAAAAAGGAAAGTGGCTTCTGAGCTTTGGCAGCTATTTTGCCAGCTTGAGAAAATTTGTCTCATCCATTATTAAATGCCATTTAAGACAATCACGGGAGCAGAAACAATAGCTTTGGATTCAAGCTGGTGCCCAAGCCACTGACATGAGATTATTTCCTGTAAAAAATAAAGGGGAAAGAAAAAGAGCAATGCTAAGGTTTAAAAAGAAAAAAGCAAAAGGAATCCTCCATTTCCCTTAACTCTATGGTGAAGGACACCGGGAGGAGATGCCGAGTTTCTCTGGACTCTTACTGGGGACAGCAGTCTTCCTCATCCTGCAGCATCTTCTGATGCTGT